CCCCTCCCCCTCGTAGTGGTGCAGTTGGCGCCCGCTGCGCCACGCTGCCTACATTGGCCACCCCGCCACGCCCCGCCACGCACTCCAAGTTATCGGGCATATATACCAGCTGCTACCGGTTTGCAGTGCTCCTCGGCCGCCGCCACACCCCGCCACGCCCCCCCCCTCCCCCCCACGCCCGCCAGTGCTCGTGCGACGACGACCACCAGCACACTTGCGGGGCGCCAGCACCACGCTGGGTCCCGAGCGGGCCCGAGAGAGGGAAGGCCGGGCAGGGCGCCCGACCCGAGTGAGCGAAGCGATATCCCGAAGGTGACCCGAAACCCGAACCCCATACGATTAGATTCGGACAGAAACGAAAGGGTCAGTCGAGGGCCGCCATGGTGGCCGGGCCCGACGTCGATGGCGAGATAACGAACGGGGCGTCCGTCCCGGAACGGTAACGCCGGTAACGCGGCCGTGAGCGATAGGGCGCAGGCGATGGTCGAATCAACCCCCCGGGGGTCCTCCAAGGGCGTCGTGTTGTAGGTGCTGCAGTAAAAGCCGCGACAGTGACAGTGGCGCTCTAGATAGGAGGGGAGGGTTGGAAACCGAGGGGTCGACCACTCAGATTTTTAGACAGTCCCTTGTGGTCTGTCTCTACCCGAAGGTAAAAGTTTCCAGTTTTGAGATGGCCGATTAACGTTCCAGTTATGGTAAGCCGATTGTTTCCAGTTTTGATAAAGATGGCCGATTAACGTTCCAGTTATGATAAGCCGATTGTTTCCAGTTTTGATAAAGATGGCCGATTAACGTTCCAGTTATGATAAGCCGATTGACGTTGATAATATAGATTCTCTGTGGGGGCGCGCCTTTGATTCGTTTTTTTGGGTGTACATTGGGTATCTGGAATATTTTTGGAATATCTAGACCTACTTTTTGGAATATCTAGACCTACTTTTTGGAATATCTGGAGTATTTTTCAGTGTGTGCATGGAATATCCAAGTGGTCCATGCACTACTTTTGGAAGGCCATTATGTTAAAATGATTAGGTTTGAGGTGAGCGCGACAAAACAATGCAAATTGCAGCGGGCATGCAGAGTAGCAACAGGAATAGAGATGCGCGCTCACCTTCAATGGGGCAAAACTGGATCTCCCTGCTGGACCGCAGCTGAAACAGAAAGCAAGTTCGAGATAAGGATGAGTCGTGAGAATGGGTGGGGAAGAACGGGAAGGGGAAGGGGGGCACTACTCGGACTCGGCCGTGCAGCAGCGGCCGGTACACAAACACAGCGCGGGCGGGCTGGGCGGGCCCACACGCGGGAAGCACG